TGCCTGGAGAAAACACGAGGTTTGGTCCTCAGAAGTTGCTCTAAGAGCTCAGTGCCTTGGGGGGTGCGAGGTAGTGAGGGATCTTTCCAAGATCTTGTGGACCAAATATGCTTCTGCTGCAGCCCAGGTTCTCCTTCGCTTTGAAGACCAACGGATGTCCCTGAGCCTTTTGCTCTGAGGATGTCACTTACTGGCCCATTGCTAGAAAGCATTATCTGCAGACGCTGCACAGCTGAGTCTGAGCTGTGCAGACACCCGCTCCTGGTTTTGATCGTCTTTGCCTTTCCCACACAGTTTTCAACGTTGGGGAGTATCGACGCGAGGCGGTGAAGCACTACAGCTCCTATGACTTCTTCCGCCCCGACAACGAGGAGGCCATGAAAGTCAGGAGGTAAGGGTGGGCACAGCATCTGTGCTTGCACTTGGGTCCCAAATGGGTGGCGAAGCCCACGGCTGGCAGCACGGTTACCCGGCTTGTTTCGGGGATGATGAACAGAAAAGCTGGGGTTTAGCTTTAATTTTCCCTGCTTGTCCAAGGAGGGCCTGACTTGGGTGCCACGAGCTGAAAACTGGAGCTGTATGGACTTGGTAGCTTCAGGGTCACCAACGCATCCTCCATCAGTGGTACCCTAAATTCACCTCCAGGCTCAGTGATGTAGGGTACGAGGTCTGCCATGAGGTTTGGCCTTTGCTTCTTCACCTACCATTGCCTCTGCTGTGAAGACCAGCACACTGCTCGGCATGCGTGGCTCTTGTATTTTTGGCAGACTGAGGATGTCTTTCCTCAACGTCCCTGGGAGGGGGGCAGGTGGTGAGGAGGAGCTGCAGAGCCTGCCTGCCTTTGTGGAGGTCTGTGCACTGCCTGCCACAAGCATCTCTGAGGACGTCAGGACCACGCACCTCTCTCCTCTTTTGCAGGCAATGTGCCCTGGCTGCCTTGAGGGATGTCAAGCTGTACCTGACGGAGGAGGCTGGCCAGATTGCGGTAAGCTCAGAGATGTTCTCCACGGGGTTTGGCAGCAGTTCTGGTCCCAAAGGCGCTGTGCCCTGTGCAGTTTGCTCTGCAGTTCCTTCCCTAAGGAAGGGCTCAGTGGGAAACCAAGTACTCTTGGTGCTGATCGAAATCTTTGCTTTTTAAGGTGTTTGATGCCACCAATACCACGCGGGAGAGGAGAGGGTTGATCCTAAACTTTGCCAAAGAAAATGGGTTCAAGGTTGGTACCATTGGGCTGCTGCCTGTATTGCATAGTCCACTTTAGTGTGCTGTTGGCGTGTCTTGTTTCACTAACGTGTGGTCCTCACTGTGTAAAGGAGATTTCATTGCTGTGTTTGATTAAAAATGTGGAACCCTTACCTCATTCCCAGTACTGAGCCCTGGAGAAGGAAAGGGTGGTAGTGGGGGAGAGGGAGAGCTCTCTGGTCAAGCAGGGAAGAGGGTGGGTTGAGCAAGGAGCTGGCTGAATGTTACAGACCTTACTGGTGGCTTCACTTGAGCTTTGCTTTGCTTCACAGGTATTCTTCATTGAATCCGTCTGCAATGATCCCACGGTAGTTGCCACTAACGTTATGGTAAGTGTGGAAGTGTCTTGCTTTTGTTTTCCATTGTGTAGCATTTCCCACCTGCACCCAGCTGGTTTCTTATCTGAACAACTTGCCAGAGTTGGTTGAGGATTAGGAGGTTTTTATCTTTTTATGATCTATTTGTCCTGGGATGAGAAAGGGGCTTTTGTCTCCCAGGGCCACCTGGTAATAATGAAAATGAAAGTTGTTGTAGCCTTTTCCCAGTTCCCTTCCATGCTGTCTGCATTTCTGTTGAAGTCTAACTTGATATCAAGAAGAGAAATGTGTTCAGTGCTTTGGTGACAGCCCCCCCCCCGCCCCCCAAAGTCCCACTCTTTGGAAGTGTTGGATGTGGTTAGGGGTGTAAAATCCCATTGGAGAGCACTCAGACTCGGTGTCTTCAGCCACATGTAGCTTCACAAAATCTTTTGGGGTCTGCTTTGAGATGAATAGCAGCTCAGCTTAGAGGTTTCTTGCCACTAGCTGAAGTCTTGGCTGGGGGAGCAGCATAAAACTGCTTTCTGGCTCCTTCGGGAGCTGCTGGATCTTTGATTTCCCACCAGCAGAAGAACTTCTTTGCCGGTTAGGCTGGGCTAGGGCAGGTAGATGTCAATTGGTCTACCCAGGCATGATCAACTTGAATGAAAGTGTCCTTTCCTCCACTGGGCTCTGCTCCAGCCTTATCTCCAGTTGTACATCTGAACTTTGTGGGCCGTTTTACGGTGTCTGGGAATGTGTTGCTGAGTACCCAAAGTCTACGAGAAGAGTTTTGTTCTGCTTCTGAGCTGGGCTCCGCAAAGGTGCTGGGGTTGAGGCTACAGCATGGCTTTTGCTCCTGCTTCGAGCTGGTGTCCCATGGCTAGTGACCAGCTTTCTGGGAGGTTGCACACAGCCTTTTCCGTGATGCTAATAAAGTGCTCGGTTTTCTCATCTCCTCGTGTCGTGGGTGTATCCCCCCCCCTTCCCCCGTTCTTCCCTTCTTTGCAACACCCTGAAGCTGGATTTTTTGGAGGATTTAATCCCTTTCTTTGGGAACTAATGCTTGAAGGGAGCGAAAATGAACTACTAGCTGAGTGTAGGTTTTTGCTCCACGGGTTGCTGCAGATGAATGGTGCTCTTAGTGCTGGAATCGGTGTGGAAAATACGCTGCGGGCCTGAGGCACTGCCGCATGTGTCACTCAGTTGTGTTATCCTGTTCGTCTCAGGATTGCTTGTCAAGTTCCTAATGTGTAATTCTGCTGCTGAAACCCAAATATTCAGGAAAAATAGCCTGTTAGAGTAGTTGAGGCAGAACTTAGTCTGTGAGAGTTCTGGATATTCACATTGCCCATTTCCAGTATCTTTCAGCCTGTAGGTTGTAGCCAATAATGCACAGAAAGGAGCTGAGTGTTATCTTGCTGCCCTAGATGGTGGACAGCCAGGTTGACCTTTCCCTCCTCAAAAGGCCCAGGATAAGCATCTTGTCTAAGCTTATGCACTTTCCGTTCTCAGCTTGGATCTTTTAAACCCGATGCTTTCCTTGAGCCATAAGCTCAGTTTTCCCGTAGTGTTGGGTGGTAAGGTGCTACCCCAACTCTTGGGTGAACAGGAGTAGACTGATACGCATCTATACCAGTCATGCAATTGTTTATACCAGATTTTCTCACCTTGCACTTAGTTTTGGGTCTAGTTTGGTGCTCTTCTGTCCTATGATAAGTGATGACTATAAAGTGGCTTAGCTGATAGCTGGGTCTTGGCAGGACTTTGAAATTTGAGATTAGCATGGTCTGGCTTGGAAAGCTTCCTAGCTTCTCTTTACAGCATGTTTGTTTTTTTTTTTAATCCCTGTTGCAGGAAGTAAAATTGTCCAGCCCTGATTACCGGGACTGTAATTCGACTGATGCCATGGAGGACTTCATGAAGAGGATCAACTGTTACCAGGCCAGCTACCAGCCACTTGACCCTGATGACTATGACCGGTAAGAGACTTTCCAGACTGCTGAACTGTCTTGAATGACCTTCTTCTCCCAAGATGATGGATGGAGCTGTATTTCCCTTTGTCTTCAAATACGTGACTGTGCTAGGATAACATATGGCCAAGCCACACTGTGAATTCGGCTTCTTCCTTGAAAATCCTGGGTTTCCCCAGCCCTGGGCGGGGAGCCGGGCACTGAAACCTTCCCAGGCTCTTCTGGGCTCTGATATGCTGGTTCTACAGGTGTAAATACAAAGTTCTTGGAAAAGCAGTTCAGTTTGAGTGTTTGAGAATGTTTTGTCAGTTAAAGGAAGGGACTGCTTGAACAGGCTCAAACCGCAAGGTTGAGCAAGCCCTGTGGTTTCCTCTTGGTTGCGTGCCCTGGGAAGACCTTTGCTGTCCTGCATGACCATGCAGGCACCTCCCAGCCTTTCCACTGCTCACAAGTACGTCTGTATGCCCTGTACAGATAATCCTGGTCCTGCTGAGCCCTGTCCTGGGGAGAAACATGCTCCCTGCTAGTCTTGTTTAATCCTCTTTACTGCTGCAAGGAGGAATGGCAATTACACTGGTGTTAACTTAGCTCTCCATGAATCGCCCTTACCTGTTGGCTTCCTGTTGAAAATAGCCTGCAGGAAATCCTTTTAGCTGGGTGATTATGTTGACTGAGATAAAACAGCCTTGTGAGGTTCCACTATGGTGCGTGTTGCTTTCTGCTTTCCCCGTTGACAATGTCCTCATCCTTGCTGTGCTTTTCCTAGGGAGCTTTCTCTCATCAAAGTCATTGATGTTGGCCGGCGGTTCCTGGTCAACAAGGTTCAGGATCACATCCAGAGCAGGATTGTTTACTACCTGATGAACATCCATGTCCAGCCCCGCACCATTTATCTCTGTCGGCACGGTGAGAGTGAGTTCAACCTCAAGGGGAGGATTGGAGGTGACTCGGGCCTGTCCAACAGGGGCAAGAAGGTAAGGGGGAGGCAAATATTCCCCTATGGCTTCTAGGAGTGACTTGTTTGTAGCAGATACCATGCATGGGGTTAAGTGCTTATTTGATGACAGCTGGGGTGCTCAGAGGATCTCTCTGTAGGACTGGTGAAATTTGGGCTTGGGCATGGCCTCAAAACAAGACTTTCCATCCATCGATGTTGCACGTGGGCTTCCACGTAGTTAGGGGTTAACAGACGTTGGACTGCAGAAATATCTGGGAGAGAAGGGTATGAGTAACTTCATTAAGTTGGTTCAGACCTTGCACAGGCAGGGCGGGATGGGATGTAGGAGGACTGCTGCCACCCTTTGGTAGGGATAGCCAACTCCAAGGGTGCTTTCAAATTGCTTTCCACTTGAGTCTTCAAAGACATGGTCAACCGCACTGCTTCAGGGACGGTTAGTAGCTATTTTGACTTGCCAGACCAATTTGAAGTCCAAATGGAGACTATTATCGAGGACTACAGAATAGATCAGTTTAGCACTACGACAAATAAGCAGAGCTGTCATTAAGGGTGTCCAGGGATCTTCCACAGCATTGTAGGAGAGCACAGGTTGTGGTGCTGTTTCTTGGATGCGGATGTTGTTCCTTGAAGACATTAGATTTCCCCTTTCTCTTTGTCCTCATACCCCTCATAACTGTTTGGGATCAATGCATATATGGTTGCCCTTCACCTCAGAGCAGAAGGCCTATGGAAAGCAAAAGAGGTCCTGAGTTGCTTGAGAAGTTGCCCGAGAGGCAACATTTACTGGGAAGCAGGGAAGATGGCCTGTGGGGAAGCTGGGGATCAGGAATCAACCTTTTTTTTTTTTTTTCCAATATCCCACAGTTTTTGCACTGGCACTGAACAAGTTTGTCGAGGAGCAGAACCTGAAGGACCTCAAAGTGTGGACCAGCCAACTAAAGAGAACAATCCAAACAGCAGAAGCTCTCCAACTGCCCTACGAGCAGTGGAAGGCACTCAATGAAATTGATGCTGTACGTATCTGATTGTAGTAGGAACAGCTGGATTGTGCTGGTTACTGCTTGGCAGAGAGGGTGATAGCACTGGCCTTTTCACTTTTTGCCTAAATATCACCTTTTGTGGGGATATTTTTTTCTTCTGTGGGAAAGGGTGGTGCTTCTGCTGCAGTACTCACAACTTGTCTTCTGATCTTAGCTCTGCTTTGTGGAGGTGCTTCAACATGTTGGCTTGAATGAGCAGACTAAAATGTGGGGTGTGGTTTTTTTCTTTTTTCTTGGAACTGCTCTGTAGCTGACCACTCAGAGGGTTATAGGCAATTGGTTTGGAGGAGGTTTTGCATGTTGGGTGTGCTGATGTTTTTTGACTTGAGCATGTCTGGTAACCTCATGGATGTCCTGTTGTGGCAGGGTGTGTGTGAAGAAATGACTTATGAAGAAATCAGGGAGCAGCATCCAGAGGAATTCGCCTTACGCGACCAGGATAAATATTACTACCGTTATCCTTCTGGGGAGGTAGGTCTTCTGAGGAGACCTTCAGAGATGCTTTAAATATGCCTTCATGCTGTCCTCTGCACTTGGAGCAGGAGAGGAGGAGGTGCTCCAAGACACTAAAATTAAGAAAGGCCAGGGCTCATATTTACCTTTTGCATTGAGCTCTTGTGAAATTGGGGTATGTGAAGACCTCATTAAGAAATGTATCATCTAACAGTCCCACTGACTTTATAGCAAATTAGCAGGAAGGGGGCTATGGAGGTTTCTAGTCCAGCTCAGTGTTGTGCTGCCCCACTTTTTCTTTCACTTCCAAAGAAGTAATTTCTACCTCTGCTCTCAGCATCATTCCCTAAGGGTTGATGTTGATGTTGATATCTCTGTTCCTGGCAATCTGCTTCCAGGGTGTGACACAATGAGGTGGCAATTGACATCAGTTCTGGGTGATGTTGATATCTCTGTTCCTAGCAATCTGCTTCCAGGGTGTGATGCAATGAGGTGGGAATTGACATCAGTTCTGGATGATACTTTAGGTTGTGATTGGGCTTTTTATCCTCAAATTAAAAAGTCATATCCATAGGGCGGCAGGTCTAACAGGAGAATGTTTGGGGATGTTTGACACTGATTCGGGGTGTCTGGGGTTCCTTCTGGATGCCTGTTGTGGTTCTTTATGAAGTCCTTCAAAACCCTGGAGATTTTGAGGCTGCTCCAGACTTTTCAGAACTTGGATATCCTGTAGAAAATCAAATTCAAGATGATGGAGAGACACTATGCTCAAAGCCCCTGTGCAGTTGTTGCTTACCTTGATAAACTCTCCAGGACTGTAAATGAGATATGAATGGCTTCTTTCTTCTCTGACTAGGAGAAGTAGCTATGTTCTAGAGTAGCCTGAAGATGAGGAATTGTTGAACGCTGCTTGTTTTTAGCGGTAATTGTTTCTGTTTAGTCAGAGGCATGAAATCAATAGATGTACCAAGACAAGAACCACTGTTTCTTGTGAGGTTCTTGTTTTCTTGATTTCTATGCCATATGTCTCTTCCCTTCTTCTGTCTCAGTCCTACCAAGATCTGGTACAGCGCTTAGAGCCAGTCATCATGGAGCTGGAGAGACAAGAGAACGTCCTTGTGATCTGTCACCAGGCTGTCATGCGCTGCCTCCTGGCATACTTTCTGGACAAGAGTGCAGGTGAGCTTCTTGTCCCTGGGAAGGGGATTGATCCTGCTGGAGGAGAGATGATAGATGGAGCTCTGAGGAGCTGAGAGGTGTGTTGAGGTCCATGCACAGCATGCATCTCTTTGGTGTGGGATGGCTTTAGCTATTGAGGCAGATGTCTGAGCCTGCTTTTGGAGAGGGGATGAGATAACCCTCCTGCTTTGCTTTCTCTGCAGATGAAATGCCCTACCTGAAATGTCCCCTTCACGCAGTGTTGAAGCTGACCCCGGTGGCCTATGGTAAGTGGGACCTTTCTACTAAACACACCGAGGGTTTTGACTTGTGCCTCCTCCTGAATCCCAGCTGCCTCTGGGAGAAGAGTCAGGGGTCTGGGGTGGAGCATTGGTAGCATCCTATGCCCTTTGGGTTTGCTCATGGCCTCTCTGTCTCCTTGTGCTCTCTTTCTGCAGGCTGCCGAGTGGAGTCCATCTCACTGAACATCGAAGCTGTCAACACCCACAGGGAACGGCCAGAGGTGAGTGTTGCTTTTCCTCAGAGCTGTCCTTTGGTGTCCCCCTCCTTCCCCCTCTGGTCAGCCAGCAGCAAGGATGCCTGGGGTGGGCATGGGGAGATTGCTCAGCTGGGTGCTTGGAAGTGCTGCTGGAGGACTGGAGCATCAGATGGGTTCTTGCTCTGCAAAAATGTGGCTGGTTGAGGGTTTTCCAAGGGAGAAGGACTGTTGCATGTGCCTGCTTCTCAGTGTGTTTGCCCAGATTAAAGCTGGCCCAGGGAAAGATCTTCCCTGGTCTCTGACTTTCACCTGTGCAGTTATCCGCTCGCCCGAGCGGGGAACGGAGCCTCGGATGGAGAAGGTGACTTCTCCCAGGTCTCCCAGCTGGCTGGCAGAGCCTGGGCTCAACACCTTGCCCAACATCTCCTGCCTTTGTGGGTTTTTTTTTTTCCTGCCATGCCCATGGCTCTGTGGGACTACCAGAGTGCCATTCTGTAGGGTGGGGGTGACAACACTGGGCTGGGGATGCTGTGGGGAGGAGACCCCTTGTGTGGAGGAAAACTCCTGTAAGGTCAAATCTGTCTGCCACGTGCTCCACCAGGAGCTCAGAGGCCAGAGCAAGGGAATGCCAGCTCGATGTGAGGGCTGGGTAGCCACCCAAGGGGGACCCCAGGGACCCTGGCAGTGCCCATGTCCCAGCCGCTGGGACCTTTCCAACTTGCGCTTAGCGGTGATGGAGCCCAACTGGATGTTGGATGGTCAGAGCCATCCCCTTCTGGCCAACATCTCCTTTCCTTTGCTTCCCAAAGGGGGCATCTGAGCTGCCTCCCCCTCCCCACAGGCGGGGAAGCTGGTCCTTCCCCCTCCACCGCCATGGGGGCCGTTGGTGCCCTCCACCACCCCCCTCGCTGGGGAGGGCAGGAGGGCCGTGCACTGCGGGTAGGACGGAGCAAGACACATGCGAAGCACTTGGGTCTCTCTGCTTGGCTACGCGGGCGCTGCCCCTCCATCCCACCTCGCTTGAGTTGGAGCTTGGCACAGCACTGACCCTCGCTGGCTGCTCTGCCCCCATTTCCCAAGTCTTCCTTGTCAGCCCTGGCTCGTCTTCCCTCTTGCTTTCACACCTCTCCCTGGGTCGGAGGGGACTGGCTTCGAGGAGGAGACTAATGGGCACCTCTCTGCTGTGCAAAGTCATAGCTTTTGATTATCTCTAGGGGTGCTTGGGTTTGTTTTTTTTTTTATTAGCAATCCATATTTACTTTTTAATGTGAGCAGAGGCTCAGGTGAGGAGAAAGTCTGTCTCGTTTCTGAGTGCAGGGCCCTCTGTGTTTTGTTGGGTTTTTTTCCGCCCCCCTCCCCTTCTTGGGAAATCATGCTGCATTCTTAAGCATTTTGCATCAGGATTTTGGTGGGTTTTTTTTTTTGGTGTCTAGGGTCTTTCAATGCATCCTTTGCACGTTGACAGTGATTGTGGGGAAAAACAGAGGCTGCTCTAAGAAAAAACCAAAACCAAACCAACCTGCTTCTTTTTTTTCTTTATAACTGTCGCCTTCTTCCCTTTATTTTGTTTTCTTTTATTTTTTTATTTACTTTTTTTTTCTTTGTCTCACTTTAATTTAGGAAGCAAAGAAGGGACCTAACCCGCTCATGAGACGTAATAGCGTTACCCCTCTAGCAAGCCCAGAGCCCACCAAAAAACCTCGCATCAACAGCTTTGAGGAGCATGTGGCTGTTTCTTCTGCCCTGCCAGGCTGTGTTCCTCAGGAAGTGCCCACGCAGCTGCCGGGACAAGTTAGTTGAACTCTTCCTTTTTTTTCTTTTTTTTTTTTTTTTCTTTTTGGTTGTTATTCTTGTTGTTTTATTGTTTGTTGTCCTCCTGTCGCTCCTGAAGCTGGGGAACGGCTTGCACTTGTCGTAACCTGTGCTGCTGTCTCTGAGATGCATCTTTCTCCCATGGCTGCTGTTCCTCCCTGCCTTGGGTTGGTTTTGGGAGCACCCGGTGAGGGTCACTGTTGATCCTCTCTTGGGTTTCGAGAGTGTCGTAAACCCCCCCCCAAAGCTCTAGGCTGCATTAATTTAGTGCCTTCACCATCTGGCATCATGGTGTCAACCTCCTGAGGAGCCATATCTCTAGAGCGGGCAGGACCAAAGGGCTCTTGTCTCCCCTCTGGATGCCCTTGGCTCTGGTGTAGACCTGTGCATTGCAATAAAGCGGATGTTCTTGTGCTTCCCTTGAAGAAGCTGCCGAGACTCATCTTTGGCTGGAGGTGTCTCCTCCTTCCTGGAGCAATAGGCAAAATGGACCAAAAAATGAGTAGAAGCCTCTTGGTGTGGTGAACCCGGTTGCCTTCAGCCCTGGGTGGAACCCTGTTGGTAGCTGCTGTGATGCTCACATGTCCTCTCCTCTTTTCACCCACCCATGAAGGGGATGTAGAGAGACCTTGCTGGCTGCACACTTCTCCAGGAACAAAACCCCCCAACCTGTGCGAGTTGAGGAGCTGGGGTTGCGCTGCAGAAGCAGCATGGATGTACATGAGCCCCTTTGTCATGCTGCCCTTCCCACCAGCTGCCTGTTGGATCTTGCTGTCTTGCCCAGCCCCTCTTTGTGTTGTTTGTATTGTCTGGTGTCTTCTTGCTCCTCCTTGACCAAATCCTGGGCTGATTAGGAAGGGTGCCATGCTCCTCCAACCGCCCTGCTTGGTGGCCGCTTCGCATGAGCCTTCTCATCCCAGCAAGCACCAAATGGGGCATTTTGGTCTGTCTCAGCTTCTGGGGCTTCGCTTGGACTGGTTGATTCTTGCAATAAACCCTTCAATGGCTTCAAGTTTGGAAGCTCTTGCTGTTTGGGCTCCCCTCCCTGCCGTCCGGTGTCCTCTGCCCAGTCTTGCGCGGCGTTACTGACACCTCTCTCTCCGTTCTCTCTGTCTCTCTGCAGCCTTTACTAGGGAAGGCATGCCTGTAAGTACCTTCTTGCGTCTTATTCCCCCTTTCACCCCCTTGCCATGTCTCTTGCCATCCCACCGGTTGTTTTGTTCTTGCTGTGAAACCCGGCTGGGGCGTGGACTTCTTGGAGTTAGTACTTGTCGGGGGGGATTTGCATATATCTTAGGAAAGGTAAAGAGGAGACTCTGAATGCTGCTTTGTCCAACCCTTAAGTACCCTAGCCTGATTAAATGTCCCAATTTTGTTGAGAAATGAAGCAAATTATCACTTGCCCTCTATTACTGATGTCTAAATTCCCTGCCTCCTCCTTGGACAGTTACAGGATGGGAGAGGCTGTTGAGTTTTACTGGAGTTCTCTCCTCTGCAATAGCACATTGTATTATCAGTGATAACTTCTTGAGGGCTCCAAGTTGTATCTATGAGCGATGGTACCAGAGACATATCTGAGAAGGTTCTGACCTCAGCTCTCAACAGGGTTTTATTGCCCGCGTAGGAGCAGGAGTGTTTTTTCTGGAGCTGAACTGATCCTGGCTCCTGGCATGTGCAGTTAGTCCTGCAAATCTGGATTTTTGGGAACAGTCTGCCTAGGTGTCTTGGGCAGAGAAGATGCAAGGATGTTGTCCTCCTACCTCTATTAATAAAGCAAGAGGCCTTGAGCACTTAATGCACTCGCTATGAATAATTAAGCCCTTGGCAGTTTGGCTCAGTGCTGTTAGATCCTTGTGTAACAGGGACAGGACAGCTTCTGGATAAATTTGAAGCCTTCAGACTTAAAACATGCTGCATCATTAGAGAGCAGCAGTCATTAAGCTGTGCTCAAATGCCTTCTCAAAGACCAGGGAGACTCTGGGGCTGAGCTGAGGCTGGGGTAGTGCCCAGGGGACTTTTTGCCTGTAGACCAGTTTGAATCAGCCTATGTGCATCCTTGTCCTGGTTTATTTTGTGGGCTGAAGGTGGAGGGATTGGCTATAAAACAGCCAGGCCGGAACTCAGCCCTGCTTGCATGTGACAGCTGGTGAACCTTGCGTTTCTTCCCCTTTTAGAGTAAACACTTTAGAGAAAAGGGAAGTGAGGAGGGTCAAACTTGGCTTTGCTGGCCGGCGGGTTGGGGAAGATCATCACGCTCATGCGCCTGGGCAAACGTAGCGGTCGAGTCCCTCAGCGTGGCCTGCATGTCTGTGCTCCTTCCCTTGCTGCTTATGGGCACAAAAGCCCCTGATGAAATGCCTGGTCTTCTTGGGTTGCTTTGAAAACATTTTTATTTCTCTGTCCATCTATTCATCCACCTTTTTCCCATCCATGTTGTAATAAAAAGCGCTGCATGCCTCAGTGCTAGCTGGGACACTGAAAAAACACTCTGATGTTGAGTTTGGGGGATGGCTGCAACAGATTTTGCTAGACCAGGAGCTCTGCTGGAGCTGATGGTGATAGTTACCTGTGCCAAGTGTAGGCTGGCAGCAGCAAGTTTAAAATCTCCAGTTGCTGGGAGCCTGCCTCCACCTACTAGTGTGAAACTTAAAGGCTGCTTCTGAGGGACCCACGAAGATACCCCAAACCAAAGGCTTGGTGGCATTCGCACTGCTTTTACTTCTTGGAAGCTGTTGTCTTGTGCATGCCGGTGTTTTATCCCTCACTGTGTCCCACCACAACCTGGATGGGGTCAGGGGATGTGGAAGGTACCTCCTTCCCAATTTGCACCATGGGACTTTGTTGGCAGTGCACACTCCGTTGCATTAGCCGTCACTGTTGGGGTCTTGACCCCCATCCAGAAGGGGGCTGGGGACACCTGGAGAGGCTGAGGACATGGCTGTGTATCTGAGAGCCCTCCTGGCTTGGGATCAAGCTGGTTTGGGGTCGTGGGACCACCTGGTGTGATGGTTTCTTTTCCTTCTGCTTGGTGTTTGATCCGAAGTGCACTTTTTAACAACAAGCTGATCCCCTCCCTTCTTCTTCCCTTCACTTTTCATGCTTAAAGACGACCCGTTTGTCACTTTCTCAAAGTTTTCTCTTTACTAATATTTCCAAGGTAAATGGCTGTGGTGCATGTGGCTTTTCCTAACACTCCTCCTGTCTCCTTAGATAACAGAGAGAACAGCTCAGCCCACTCTGCCTCCTAGCCTGTCTGGGATTAGTGGGGCTTGTAAAAGAGGAGGGGAAAAAAAAAAGCTGAAAAACCTTCCTAGATGTTTCCTAATCTTGTGTTTTTTTTTTCCCCCCCCTGCTTTGTGTAGTCTTGTGAATTAGGAAATGTCCTTGTCATGATCATCTCCCCGTGGGTTTCTGCTCTAGCAGATGCTCTCCTCCAGCCACTGCCCTTGGGGCTGGTCTTGCTTTTGTTTAGCTGGTTGTCTCTGGTTTTGTGGTCCTGTCCACATGCTGGTGGATGCCTGTTGTTGCCACCCTGCGCCAGGGCTTTGTTTAGAGCAGCTCTAGGGCCCGTGAAACCTCAGGGTGCTCCTGCCATACTGCTGGTGGCTGGTCCCCATGCTGGCTCCCTGGGGCGGCAGGGGGGGGGTGCCCCTCCTTTGGGGGGGAGGGACAAACAGTGACCTCCTCCTTGGTAGGCAGGAGGGACACTGCCCATCTTCAAGGGGAGCAAGAGAGAGGTGTTTAATTTGTCTGGTTGAATGAACACCATGGTTCCCTGTCACCTTGCCTTGCACAGACCAAAGAGCGGCTTCAGAAGTGCAGACCGGGTGGGGTGGGAGGGTTGGCTTGTTCTCTAATTCAGTTTTTAGGGATATCTCTGCCAAATTCCCACCCTGTAGTTAAAGCCAGGTGATGCTTGAAGGGATGGGGGTGTGTAGCAAGTCAGTGCATCCCCCCCCACCTCTCTCCTTGGGTGGACAGTGTCCTCTCCTCTGTGGTGGATGCTTTCATAGTGACCCACGTGTGGCTTTCTGTTACTCCCCCCGTCCCCTTGTTGATGTGCATGTAGAAGAAGCTGACAGGATGGGGTCCGACCCAAGCACCATCCCCAACCCCGGTCCTTCCCCTCTCGTTGCAGAACATGAACAACTCGCAGAAGCAGTCGTGACTCCGTTGGCGCTGTCGCGAGGCCACCAGCGACGCCACCGGCGGGCGACACCAGCTTCCCATCCCATCGCCATTTCCGAAGCTTGCTTATAAACCGGTCTCCTCCGTCTGCAGTGAGGTCGACCCCCTGGCTGTTTCTGCCCACGCCCGTTCATCTTCAAAGAGCTCTGCTGAAGGGGGGAGATGTGGGAGAGAGGAGGAGAGGAGCCGAGCTCCTCAGGGTCACCACCAGATCTTTAGGCTGCAGCATTTGCTCTCCTCTCCGGCGTCCCGTTAGGTCGTAGCAAGCTGTACAGTGCTTCTAGCGCACAGGAGTTTAATTTTCCTCTGTCAGCGGTTTTGATCTCCTTTTGTATAAATGATTGGTACCCACCCGTCTCTGGGTGGGGTGTATATATGTGGATGGTGCGGGGTTAGCAGAGAAATAGGGGGAAGGGGAGGGGGAGCGAAGGGGTTTTGCATTTTTTTTTATTATTATTATTAATTACTTTTCAAAAAAGCTGTGCTGCAGTCCTTTACCCACGCTACAGCCTGTCGCACACGCACAGCCCGGCTCACCCAGGAAGGCAGCTGTGTGAAGTCCTTCACAGCGAGAACTGCTGGGTTTAACCAAAAATAACAACCCCAAAACATACTCTTTTGGTCTTTTTTTTTTTTTTTTTTT